GTACCTGATGTAGGTATGCATAACCCCGACGCCCAATTCTAAATGTTTGAAAACCTGGTCGAAATCCTCCTTAGCAAGTGTTTCGGAATATTCAAAACCGAAAATACCTTGTTCCATATGTATTAGACGGATGCCGCCCTCAGGCACGTCTGTTGTCCCTACATATGTTTGAAGGCACGACCTAAATTGAGGAACAAATGCTCTTTTTGTCTCGACCTTTTTTTTGGGCACCTTGGAAGTTTCAGGCATGTTTCCCTTGCTGACATGTTGCGACTGCTGATCAAGAACCTAAAAGTCATATATAAGTTCAGTAAATAATTTATAATAAAATAATCACTTAAACTGTAGTACTAGTACCTGTAACTTTGATGCAGCTGAATCGGTATCCCGCACAATAATTTTATCATCTTTTGTTTTGGATTTTGTGGGAGTCTAAGATCATCATGTCAATAAGAAAGTGTAAATGTCAGAATAACTTTCATGTATGGGTAATAAAACATTGGAATATTACAAGGTTCAACCTACCTCATCATCCATGAAAATGAGATTCGCCGGCCATGCTACATAAGCTCCTATCGCGTCTCCCACCACTTTTGCGTCTGATACATCGTCTCGCATAGGCAACAACGCCCCCCCTCTAATGCAATATCAACAGATACTTTCAAAAATCCAGCAGGGAGGGGTTTATGGTGAAGTAAGTCTCCCAGGGTGTTATGCACCTTTCCCTTGCCAACCATGCGATAAGTCGGCGATGATAAATATAGTCGACAAGGTGAAATGCCCTAAACAAATAATGATCAGTTAATGTGTCAATTAAGAAAAATGTGCTAAATTAATTTCAATGTAATATATACAATTACCTCTGGAAGCTTCTGCGGACAACCGATACTATCTTTGTCACTAGTAGCTTTACCGGCCTCTGGAGCGCGCCTTTCGGACATGTATCTCTCCTTATCCTTCTGTAATTCACGAATTTGAGCTTTCATTTCCTCCAAAGTAGCCATCACTTCTTTATTGGTTGGATTTTTTTTCCTTGGCTGCTTATACAGTTTGGATGGAGTGACACCAAATCCCTTGCCCCTCACACGCCCAGAGTACTCAGGAATATTCAACACCCGACTCAATAAACTCCTGCAATCATCGTCTTCAGCAGGAGTTATAGTCTGAGATAGGGACTCCTGAAATATAGATAAAAGCATATTTAAATATTTTATACACTTTGTTCAAACACTTTGTTCAAAAACTAATGTTGTACTTACACATTGTTCAAACACTTGTTGAACTTCTTCTTGGACGGCTCCATCTCTTCCCACCCGGGCAGCCTTCCATACGACATGGTCCGGAAGAGATGTCGCATCACTTTTCTCCTCTTCCAACTACGCATTAAGACGAACAATAAAGCATTATATCCTATTATGTATACTTACTATTTTTTGTAAATAGATCATATTAAAGCATATATATGCACTTACTAATTTTTGTTCTAAGCGTGCATATCCCAAACGCCCCTTTCTATATGGATACGCAGGGTTTGATGCCCGTTCCCGATTTACGCCACTCTTAACCTGAAAAAACAAGTTTAAGTCATATCAGTTTGTTTGTGGAATAGGTATATATACTATACATTGTACATGATAAGTTGTACTTACTTCAAATTCTTTGGTTCTTCGCTTCGCAACAAATGTCTCCCATTCTGCATCCGAAATCAAATCAGCGTACTTCGCTGGACGCTCCGACTCTACAAAGTTGCCATCAGAATCTTTAAGATATTTGTTGGTTAAAAACGCTCTAAATCCCCTCAAGCGTTTTCCGGCCAACTGAATATAATATTTTCTCCTAGAATCCTCAATATTAAAAGATCTCTGCAAACAAATACACATACATATAACATGTTAATATAATTAATTTAAAGATGTAACTGTCAACATAATTAAAAATGATCAAATCTCATACGTGAATCTCGGTCCAAATTTTATCCTTAGCCGCTTTTAATGCAGGAATTCTCCAGTTATCGCAAGTAATCGGAACTTGCGAACGTACAACTGCTCCAATATAACTTGTCAGCAGCGCACCATTAGGCTCAACCAACTGATCTCTTTCATTCCAATGGACATCGTACTTTACACCTCTATCTCTCACACGGATGATACTTTTCATTATCGTTATGCCTCTTTTAATTTCGCCTTCAACGTCTTTGGGTGTTTCTTTTCCATCATGTGATGTTTCCTCGTTGCTGGCCATAATATACCTGAAATTCAGAATAACAACAACAACAACAAATATCAACAACAATAACAACATCTATATCAAATATAAACCATCTATACAAACCATCTATATAAACTATCTATATCAAATATAAACCAACAATAACAACATAAACCATCTATATAAACCATCAAATAACAATAACAAATATAAACCATCTATACAAACCATCTATATAAACTATCTATATCAAATATAAACCAACAATAACAACATAAACCATCTATATAAACCAATATCAAATAACAATAACAAATATAAACCATCTATACAAATCATCTATATAAACTATCTATATCAAATATAAACCAACAATAACAACATAAACCATCTATATAAACCAACAATATCAAATATCAAATATAAACCATCTATATAAACCATCAAATATAAACCAACAATAACAACATCTATATCAAATACAAACCATCTATATAAACTATAACAAATACAAACCATCTATACAACACAAATATAAACTATAACAAATATAAACTATAACACAAACCATCTATATAACACAAATGTAAACCATCTATATCAACTATAACAAATACAAACCAACAATAACAACATAAACCATCTATATAAACCAATATCAAATAACAATAACAAATATAAACCATCTATACAAACCATCTATATAAACTATCTATATCAAATATAAACCAACAATAACAACATAAACCATCAATATCAAATATCAAATATAAACCATCTATATATATAAACCATCAAATATAAACCAACAATAACAACATCTATATCAAATACAAACCATCTATATAAACTATAACAAATACAAACCATCTATACAACACAAATATAAACTATAACAAATATAAACTATAACACAAACCATCTATATAACACAAATATAAACCATCTATATCAACTATAACAAATACAAACCATCTATATAACACAATATAAACCACCTATATCAAATATAAACTATAACACAAACCATCTATATCAAATATAAACTATAACAAATACAAACCATCTATATAAACTATTTTACATCAACAACAACAACAATATCATATATATCTCATATATCATATTAACACAACAACAACTAACACAACAACAACAAAAACCATCATTGAAAAGATAAAAACCATCTATATATCATCAGAACAACAATGGTGAAAAGATAAAAAAAAAACAAGAAAAGCAGAGTAAAGCTTCACGTACCGTAACAATGGTGGACCGGCAATGCAGACGGATGGATGAACTCAAAAACGGACGGTGAACGGTCGGTGATGGTCGGAAGGATGATCGGACGGAAGAAGTTGATGGTCGGACGATGAACAGTGGTTCGTTCGTTCGTTTTCGTTCGCCAGAGAAAGAAGAAATGTGTTGCGTGACTGTTCTGATTCTATTAAAATTCTGGAGGGTATTTTAAAATTATAATATGAATACCTATAGCAGCGCTTTTAAAGGCCTTTAGCAGCGCTTTTAAAAGCGCTTTCATAGGGTGCCTTATCAATTCCATATAGCAGCGCTTTATATAAAAAGCGCTTTCTAAGGGTCCCCCTTTAGCAGCGCTTTTGAAAAGCGCTTTCATAGGGTGCCTTAAAATTATAATATGAATACCTATAGCAGCGCTTTTAAAGGCCTTTAGCAGCGCTTTTAAAAGCGCTTTCATAGGGTGCCTTATCAATTCCATATAGCAGCGCTTTATATAAAAAGCGCTTTCTAAGGGTCCCCTTTAGCAGCGCTTTTGAAAAGCGCTTTCGTAGGCCCCCCCCCTTTAGCAGCGCTTTTTAAAAGCGCTTTCTTAGGCCCACCATTTAGCAGCGCTTTTTTAAAAGCGCTGTCTTTGGTAGGCGCTTTTTTTCTTTTTTTTTTACTGGCCCTTTAGCAGCGCTTTTGTATAAAGCGCTGTCTTTCTATGCGCTGCTAAAAGTGATTTCTGGCGTAGTGATGCTATCCATTTCTGTGATTTAGATCCTAAAAACATGCTTAGGATTCCTAAAAAGATTGATTTTGAAGTGGAGGACTTTGGTTAACATATTTTATTTTTATTTCTTTTGTGTACTATTACCACTACTACCATGTATAATCTATGATGTTTTATCTAAATACAATTATTTTGTGTTGTAAGATGTTGGATCAATATATCCGGATGAAGTTTAACATTTCAAATTATTATTTTACACATATGGTTGGAGGTATTATGTAAATAATGACACAAAATAGTTTTTTATTGCAAATCATTGTCAAATTACTTATAAATTTATCCGAATAATAACATGTCTTAAGATTCAACGATTTAACAATTTTTTGAATGAGTCAACAACTTACCAACTCAATCAATTTTCATTAACAAAACAAAATTGTTTTAATTATCATACTCCTTTATTTATGTGTTGTATTGATTTTTTCTTCTTCTTTAGTTTTAACTTTTTTAGGTTGTGCAGGTATCTCTAGTCTTTTAGATTTACCATTTATTCATTTTTTAGTAGATAAATTTTAATTAATATTACTATTTAAAGGTTACAAAAATTTTGGTTTTCGTTTTGGTCTATGTTTTTGCAACGTTTTTGCCACGTACATAAACATTAACAAACACACATTATTTATTTTATTTATACATAAAACAAGTAACAAGACACACAAATAGGAAATTGTTCATAATTGACAAGCATGCATGCTACTACTGCTAGATTGACAACTCTGGCCAACTTTTATTATACACGTCGAATTAGATACGTCAACTCACTTCACATGGTGGCTTTTGTAGACTCCAATGGAACCCATAAAAGATGATTTATAGAAAAGAAGTGACACACTGGTGTATTCTTCCCAGGATTGACTTTTAATTTCTTGAATATCATATGATTTGGATTCCAATCAGATGTATCCAAATGGCACATACCAAGAGCTTCCATTTTATCTCCATTTACATCACCAACCAGTGAGACCTTGAACACTCTAGTTCCAGTAGCTATGTAGTGGCAATAGTAAATAGCATATGGATATGAGAGGGGATGGCAAGATACCCATTTAGGAGCATTAATGTCATGTGATATTTTTAAAATGGTGTATTTTTGAAGAGGGGTAGCTGAGGGTGATGGGTTGTTGGTAGTAAGAACAGTATGTTTGGTTTTTGAACCAAATATTGTGTGAACAAATTCATGCATGGACTCTATAGAGTTGACACATGACTTGGTCTCCCCTGTGACTGCTTCTGCTTCACATTGCTCAAGTGTTTCTTTCATGAATTTTGCTTTAGGAGAATCTTCACGGATTGATAAAAGTTGGAGAACATTTGGGAGTTGTGAAATTGAGAGAGGAATTGAGTCAGCCTTTTCTTTTGAAAGGAAATTAGGAACCTCTTGGACTTGAAATTGGAGGGTCATCACATTTCCAACATAAAGATCATCCAAATTGAAAAATCCTATCTTAAAAGCTTCTGCATGATCAAAGTTAATTGAAGTAGAATCTTTTGGGTTGGAAGAAATATGGCCTTTTGGATCATAGGTATTAGCCTTGTAAGTGGTCTTGTAGATGTAACTAGGCTGTTTGGTCTCATCGGTGGTCTTGTAGATGTAACTGGGCTGTTTGGCCTTATCGGTGGTCTTGTAGATGTAACTGGGGTGTTTGGCCTCATCGACGGTCTTGTAGATGTAATTGAGTTGTTTGGTTTCATCGGTAGCCTTGTAGATGTAGTTGGGCTGCTTGGCCACATCGGCGGTCTTATAGATGTAACTGGGCTGTTTGGCATCATCGACGGTCTTGTAGGTGTAACTGGGCTGTTTGGCATCATCGGTGGTCTTGTAGATGTAACTGGGCTGTTTGGCCTCATCGGAAGTGTAACTGGGTTGTTTGGCCCCATCGGCAGTCTTGTAGATGTAGTTGGGCTGTTTGGCCTCATCGGCGGTCTTGTAGATGTAATTGGGTTGTTTGGCCTCATCGGCAGTCTTGTAGATGTAGTTGGGATGTTTGACCACATCGGCGGTCTTGTAGATGTAACTGGATTGTTTGGCCTCATCAGCGGTCTTGTAGATGTAACTAGGTTGTTTAGCATCATCGGCGGTCTTGTAGGTGTAACTGGGCTGTTTGGCAACATCGGTGGTCTTGTAGATGTAATTGGGCTGTTTGGCCTCATCGGCAGTGTAACTAGGCTGTTTGGCCCCATCGGCAGTCTTGTAGATGTAGTTGGGCTGTTTGGCCTCATCGGCGGTCTTGTAGATGTAATTAGGTTGTTTGGCCTCATCGGCAGTCTTGTAGATGTAGTTGGGATGTTTGGCCACATCAGCGGTCTTGTAGATGTAACTGGGTTGTTTGGCCTCATCAGCGGTCTTGTAGATGTAACTAGGCTGTTTGGCATCATCGGCGGTCTTGTAGATGTAACTGGGTTGTTTGGCATCATCAGCGGTCTTGTAGATGTAACTGGGCTGTTTGGCCTCATTGGCAGTCTTGTAGATGTAACTAGGCTGTTTGGTCTCATCAGCGGCCTTGTAGATGTAACTGGGTTGTTTGGCTATATTGGAGGTCTTGTAGATATAATTGGGATGTTTGGCCTCATCAACGGTCTTGTAGATGTAACTGGACTGATTGGCCCGATCTGCGGTTTGGTCGATGTAACTAGGTTGTTTGGCCTCATTGGTGGTCTTATAGATGTAACTGGGCTGTTTGGCATCATCAGCGGTCTTGTAGATGTAACTGGGCTGTTTGGCATCATCGGCGGTTTTGTAGATGTAACTGGGCTGTTTGGCATCATCGGCGGTCTTGTAGATGTAACTGGGCTTTTTGGCATCATCGGTGGTCTTGTAGATGTAACTGGGCTGTTTGGTCTCATCGGCAGTCTTGTAGATGTAGTTGGGCTGTTTGGCCTCATCGACGGTCTTGTAAATGTAATTGGGCTGTTTGGTCTCATCGGCAGTCTTGTAGATGTAACTGGGCTGTTTGGTCTCATCAGCGGTCTTGTAGATGTAACTGGGTTGTTTGGCATCATCGATGGTCTTGTAGATGTAACTGGGCTGTTTGGCATCATCAGTGGTTTTGTAGATGTAACTGGGCTGTTTGGCATCATCGGCGGTCTTGTAGATGTAATTGGGCTTTTTGGCATCATCGGTGGTCTTGTAGATGTAACTGGGCTGTTTGGCCTCATCGGCAGTCTTGTAGATGTAGTTGGGTTGTTTGGCCTCATCGACGGTCTTGTAAATGTAATTGGGCTGTTTGGTCTCATCGACAGTCTTGTAGATGTAACTGGGCTGTTTGGTCTCATCAGCGGTCTTGTAGATGTAACTGGGTTGTTTGGCTTCATTGGCGGTCTTGTAGATGTAACTGGGGTGTTTGACCTCATTAGTGGTCTTGTAGATGTAACTGGGTTGTTTGGCCCGATCGTTTGTCTTGTAGATGTAACTAGGTTGTTTGCCCTCATTGGCTGTCTTGTAGATGTAACTGGGTTTTTTGGCCTCATCGGCAGTCTTGTAGATATGACTATGTTGTTTGGCCTCATCGGCGGTTTTGTAGATGTAGTTGGACTGTTTGACCTCATCCGCAGTCTTGTGGATGTAACTAGGCTGTTTAGCCTTATCCGTGGTCTTGTAGATGTAGTTGGGCTGTTTGGCCTCATTGGCGGTCTTATAGATGTAATTGGGTTGTTTGACTTCATCAGCCGTCTTGTAGATGTAATTGGGTTGTTTGTCCTTATCGGCGGTTTTGTAAATGTAGTTGGGTTGTTTGACTTCATCGGTGGTCTTGTAGACGTAATTGGGTTGTTTGGCCTCATCGACGGTCTTGTAGATATAGTTGGACTGTTTGGCCTCATTAGCGGTCTTGTAAATATAACTAGATTGTTTGGTTTCATCGGCGGTCTTGTAGATGTAGTTTGAGTGTATATCCCCGTAAAAATCATCCAATTTATGATCTTGCAAATTTGCCTTCATGTCTCTGATGCCTTGTCCATTCTACAAACGATTTAATTATAATATTAGTGCCTAAATAACAAGTTAGATTATACGCACTGTGAATAAAATTTTAATTGCAAGAACTTTTTAACTATGATAAACTTAGTGCAAAAGTATATATTAAAAATTAAGTCTCATGGTGCTGTTAAGTCTCATGCTAAATATATCCTTTAACTCATGATAAATTAAGTATATATTAAAATACTATAACTAAAATTGATGAAAAATAAATAAAAAATTATTTCCTTTAACTCACACACTTAAGTCTCATGATGCTGTTAAGTAAATATATTTCTACCCTGAGTCTATTGGGCATAAAGTAAAAGAGCAACATCCAACTTTCATACGAAGAAGGATCCATATATCATTCAAAACTAAACTTCATTATAATTTCTTGTATGGTATTTATTAAAATATAACATATATATATATATATATATATATATATATATATATATATATATATATATATATATATATATATATATATATATATATATATATATATATATATATATATATATATATGTATTTGCTTAATTAGTGAAACATTTTTCATAATTTAGTTTAGATTTTTCTTGAGTTAAGAAGAAACCCAGCATGAGAGTTTCTTTATCAAAAGGCCCTGTTTCTTTATCAAAAGGCCCTGTTTTATTACCAAAAGTAAATAATAATAATAATAATAACAATAATAAGACATGAAGAATTGAGTTACATACCGTGAAGAAGAAAAGAGCTAAAGAAAGAAATTGAAGTACTAATTTTGGAGCCATGCTTAGTTTATTTGAAAGAAACTTCATCATGGAGGTTGAGTTCCAATAGAAATAAACTAGTCTATTTATAGATGTCCACGAGGGTTCATTCGTTTAATATATATATTATTTATAAGTTATATTTTTATAAGTTATAGTTAATGATGATTAATTTGATAGAGATAAATATATTATTTATAAGTTATAGTTGTACCGACAAATTATTACGGATATAATTGAGTTTGTGATGATAATTATTGATTTATTTACGTAAAAAAAAATGTGTATGTAGATGGAGTTTCGTTTATAGTTTTTGTCAATTAGATCTATATTTATCAAATTTGCATTAATTATGCAATCGGAATATCAATTGATTTGTAGACATCCAAAATTATTTTGAGTCATAAATTTGAGTTACACATCGCATTCAATAAATTTAAGTTGAAATAACAATTTTGTAAGTATAAAATATAGGGGAGCTTATAAACATATTTCTGGAATTTTATATGATTATTCAAATAAAAATTATTCATCAAAATATTTGGATTTGTCATTATCAAAAAGTGAGAGATTGTTAGAACAAATTCGATTCTACAATTATCCTTAAATTTCGATGATAACAAAGTGTATAGAACAATTTTATACTCTGACTATTTTTGTTAAGTGCACAGATAAAAGAAAACATATTCAGACTCTGAAGAAGTCAAATCTCAACGCAAACAAAGTCTGAAGAAAGCTGACAACAAATCTTAAAGTGAAAACACACTTAGGAAGAATTGTCGCAACTGCGAAAAACACCTGGCGGAAAAACAGAAGAGTCGCCACCGAATGTTATTTATCTCAATGAGAGGGAAAGAAAACGATCGAAGAAAATCTGAAGAACAGGAAAAGATAAGGTCATCGCAACCAAATCTTGGGTTCGGGAGTCGATTATGCAAGGGAAAGGTATGAGCACCCCTCACGTCCGTTGTACTCAACGGGATCCACGCTTGTTGTCTAATCAAATGGTGTATTTATGTATAAGCTACTGCTAAACAGAAACGAGAGCTAAAAGAAAGAGGCTCGATAGGACATCGTCGCCCTATACCTACGTATTTCCTCGTGCAATGGGAAAGTCAGAGTCAACGTAGTTCGTAAAATTACGGGTGATGGGGGAAAGGTTGCTCGCCAAGATATCGCCCTCTTGTGCCTACGTATCCTCATCTAGTATGAGAAATCAAAGCAAACGTAGTTCGGCTAACTACGAAATCGCAGGTTGGTTAAGTGTTTTTTATGAGTGACATTAAGTTCTCATTCCAGCTGTTAGGGTTGATTCCTGTTTGTGATAGAACGGAAAAATAACATACTCTTTCTGAAAATGAGTTTAAAACACAAATCCCGAAGGATAAAAGGTTTGACTTTTGTTTATGAGTTTTAGTGAAGTGAATTAATTTGCTTTGTGATTCACATTGCACTAAAGACTATGATATAGGAGCAAATGCGTCGCATATCGCTCACAGAGCGTACACTAAACACTCTAGACAAGTGAGGAGAAAACCCCACTCATCATTTCCCATATACTTAAGGCTCGTGGTGCACAATGTTCATCGTCTTTATTAATTGTGTTAGCATTATTTTGAGATGAGATGAGAGAAAGACGCACGGAAGGTCTAAGGAAAACTCGGCCCTAACGTTTTCATGCAAAGTGGCCCT